TACAGCTATATTCTATAATAACAAATTTACAAAACAAAAAGGCTAACATAACCTATACCCAACTTTTTCAGGCTACTCTGAATATCTGAAAAGAAACATTGAAAGTTTTACATCTCAGAAGGACTGCAAAAACAAAGCTCTTCAAGTTCTGTCTAAATTGTAATGAAGATGCCTACATAATGTCTATGTATTGTAATGCAGAAGTAAATGGCCAACTTATCATTTTAATACTGAATAGTAGATCTTCAGATTGTGTTGTCTCAGCTGGCTTCTTAAAAGATGCAGGTATATCAATTGACTAACCCTCTACTATAATAATAGTAGGTATACATAGTGAACAAAAAAGACTATTAGGTGAAATTGATGAATTCCTAGTGACAGTAAGTAGAAAAACAATTACCTCAAGAGCTATTGTAACTGAGGCTAGAAATTATACTATAATAGTAAAAAATGATTGGATAAAAAAAGCAAAGAACCAGTTAGATTAGGAGGCATATGAACTAATGATTAGAGATAGTGATAAAAAAATCAAGATACTAACTGAATATTGTAAACCACTAAAGATTGGTAAGAAGATAGCCAAAAAACCTCTCAAGGTAGAAATAAAAGATGTAAAAGAAGAAAGTAAAGAAGATGATGAGAGTAAAGAAGAAATAGAGACAAGTGAAGAAGAATACAAGATAAAAGATAAGTTGATTAACCAGACCTACTTATACTTCAAGTTTTATCTTATAAAAAGAGAGGCTAATATGACAAACATGCTAGAAAGATATTCTGAATTTGACAATCAAAAGAAAAAAGAAATCAAAAGATTAGATGACTTTCTTAATAAAATAAAAAGAAAAAACTATCCCTACAAAAAAAGGACAATTGACCAAAAGAGGAATTACAAGATTGGATAACTTACCAAATGGAAGAAAGAAAACTGTCCTCGCAAAAAGAAGAATACAACATGAGCAAAATGTTAGAAAAACAAAAGGACCAGATGAATAAAGTTTTAAATAAATATAAAGATATTTTTGCACAGGAGCTTGAACAACTAGAAAAGACTACAGTGGTACAACATAAGATATATACTGAAGAAGATCCTCCCATAAAACAGAGATTTTATTCTATATTAAAATTAGACCATGAGTTTATTAGTAAGGAAATTTATAGAATAAAAAAGCAGAAATAATTCAACTCTCAAATAGTCCTTAGGTGTCCTTAGTTATATTAGTAAAGAAAAAAAATAGCAAAATATGGCTGTATGTTGACTTTAGAAAACTAAACTAGATGACTAAGAAAGATAGTGACCCCCTGCTAAGAATCAATAAATTATTAGATACTCTCCAAAATTCTACTTGGTATACTACTTTAGACCTTGCCAGTAGATTCTGGCAAGTAAGCATATCACTACAAGACTGCAAAAAAACTGTATTTTACTACTAAATTCAAGTTGTATAAGTTTGTAGTAATACCATTCGAATTTACTAATACTCTAGCTACATTTTAATGACTTATAGACTAGAGCTTCCAAAAGGAAATGTGGGACTTCATGCTAGCCTACATCAATGATATGAATATTTATTCCTCCATGTTTGAGAAATATTTAATACATATTGATGTTGTGTTAACAAAGTTAAAGAAAGCAAATTTAAAATTGAATCCTGATAAATATTATTTTAGTCAAACCAAAATTTATTTTTTAGGATATAAGATTTCTGGTAACAGAATTGAGATGGATAAAGCAAAAGTAGTTGCAGTAAAGAACTTTTCAAAGCCAAAGAACCTTCAGTCATTAAGAGGGTTTTTGGGTCTTGCTAGTTTTTATCACAAGTTTATAAAGGACTTTTCTAGGTTGGCCACCCTTTGTTCAAATTATTGAAAATGAATGAAAAATATATATGAAAAGATGAACAACAAGATGTCTTTAATAAATTGAAATTCTGTTTAACTTCTACACCAATCCTTGTGTACTCCTGAGATGATAAAGAATTCATCCTTTATACTAACGTCTCATATCTAGCACTTGGTACAATATTATCATAACAAGACAATGAAGGAAAGGAACATGTAGTCAAATATGCCAGCTGTTTAACAAAGCCTGTAGAAAAAAACTATATAATAACAGACTTAGAGTATATCGCAGTTGTTTGGGCTGTAAAAAAATTTCACTAATATTTGCACAAAATGCTATTCACTATTATAACAGATTATTCTGCTTTAACTTACTTATACAATATGAATAATTCTACAAGAAAGATAACAAAATACATTATGACCTTATAGGGTTATAATTTTGTTATAAAATATAAACCTAGGAGGCAAAAACTTAATCAAACAGAACCTGTTGATGTAATTGTAGAACTTTCTCCCTATCACTATTCAGACAGAATAAAGAAGAAAGTTAAAAAGGTCTATGAAGAACTAAGAAAAACTACAAGACTCTGATATGATGAAAATAATAGGATTAAAAGTCTCCTTTATGCCTATTATTTAGGAGAACTTTTGGAAACAAAACCAAAAACTCTAGCCTAATAAACAATTTTAGTGAACCTCTTAACTAAATACTATGAGATAGTTTCTACTCAAACTTACAAACTCTTTGTAACAAATGGACAAGAAGAAGCTATCTACTAAACAAAGTTCTTGACCTTAACAAATATTAAGAGTCTTCGCTCAATAGACTTTGCAACTCTATATTAACTTTTTGTAGAACTTGAAAATAAGCTAAGAAGAATATTAACATATAAAACATAAGGAAAAACACAAATTCTTTAATATCTTTTGATTCACCAGTCCAAATTGGATGAATCATATACCATTAGAATTAGCTCACTAAGACAGTTCTAATGAGCTAAGAATTATTAAAATCCAATTACTAGATCCCGAGATAATTAAGATCTAGCTTTTTATCATAATCTGTATGATCTGATTAGCTGAGTGACTACTGCGGGAGATTTGTTACATGTACCATATCTATTACCAAAGTTTATATTTCTTTAGAACTTGAGCTAAAATCCAAGTTCTGTTAGAAAAAATAATATTAGATTTCTTAGTATTAGATATTTTGTAAAAATTGTATACTCTTAGACCTAACTTTATGTAGTTAGCAAAGAGTATAAATAGATTTTTTTGCATAGAAATTTTAATATAATATTATAGGCAATTTCTTTTATAAAATTAAGACTTTATTATTTAGTAATTTAATTTTATCAGAGTGATAGTACCTTTATTTATAGTAAATTTTTTTAAGACTTATTTTACTTTATTTCTATATTTTATTTGATTTCTTTTATAAAACTAATAAAACTGACATTTTTCTTTTTCTTTTTTTACCTATTTCCCTAATAAATTGTTATTCTTAGTTTTATCTATTAATAGAAGAAAAAGTTAACAAGTTAGTTACTTGTTCTTTTAGACTTTTGAATTAAGTTACTTGATAGAATAGCAAGGCAGAAACAATTTAGCAAAATAAGGTAATTGAATGCATTATATAGTTAAACAAATACTAAAGATTCTATTATTCAGATCTTAGTATAGTAAGTTTCTTTATTAATATAATAACTACCTTTATTTAAAATAAACTACAAGACTTTTATACAACAGAAATATATTTGAGGCTTTTACTAAATATAACTAAATTGAGTATCATAAGAAGAATCTGTAAGTTATAATGATTATCACAAGTTAAATTTTAAAATTTTAATAAGATTTCAGTAAGATATTAGTAAAATATTGTTATGTTGGTTTGACTTCTTTAACAAGACCAACTAACTAGAGAGACTAATAATAGTGAATACTTTGTGTAATGTC